GTGAGCCATAAGTGTCTCTCGGCAACACAAAGGCTGGCCATGCATCTCCCCAGAGCTTGTGCGGCGGCTTTAGTGGCGCGAAGGGCGAGGTCCGTAGCACTTCTCAGATCCGTGACAGCGGGGGAGGGGTTTCTACCGCCTTCGGCCCACTCACGGAGAATATCGCTCTGTAATACTTGGAGGACAGACATCGAATGTAGCGCTGCGGCGGCCTGACCGGCGGCGGCGTAGGCGCGAGCATGAAAGCTCGAGGTCGCTCTGCAAGCTTTCGAAGGAAGCGTGGGGGAAGAGCGCCATCTAGCAGAGGGCGGGCAGAGGTGTGCGGCGACCAAGTCCTCGACGGGCGGCATGGCTGAGTAGCCTTTCTCGGCGGCTCCGTCCAACGAGCGCAGCGAGGCGGATATATCAGAGCGGTTTCTAGCCGAGAGCGGGGCATTCCAGGACTTCGTCAGCTCTGCGTGAAGTTCAGGCAGGAATGGAGCGGCCCGGTTGCACGCGGGGGTCGAGCGCCGATGAAAAAAGCTGCCGTCCATCCGGTTCGGGGCCTGCTCGGGTGGAGGAGACCACTCGAGACCGAGGCGTTCGACGGCCTGTGAGAGGAGGCGCATTAGTTCCTCCTCTATCCCGGCGCGGACCCCCGCCGATTCTCTCGTGGATCCGAGAGATGACCATTCTTCACTGTCTGATGCGAGCAGTGAACAGGAGTCCTTCTCCTCCGCGGCGTCATCGGAAGCGACAGAGCGGCCACTCGGCGGCAACTGTATGTCCGGCAGGGGCGGGGAGGGAGAGCGGGAAGCGGGAGGCGGCGGCGGCGGCCCGCATTGTTCTGCTGGGGGCTCCGGCGGCCTCTGGGAGCGGCGTTTTTTCTTACGCGGCGAAGAGGAAGGCGGCGCGGGAGCGGATTTTGCTGCCAGAAGTCGTGCCCGCAGGGACGACAACGGCAGGCTCTCACAGAAGTCGCATCCTCCATCCGCGAGGGCGAGTTCTGCGTGCTCGAGTCCCAGGCAGAGAGCGCAGATGACATGGCGGTCTTTATAGGCTAAAAACAGTTTAGCCTATAAAGCTAGTATAACGCTAGTATATTGGGCATAGTGTAATGACAAATAAAAATCGCTTGTTAATACCACTAACAAGGCTGAAAATAGACCCACACTAACACGGTAGCATAATGAGGGTCCCTACCTTCAAACCGAAGCATTGAGAACTTTGTAAGTGTACAGACAGTTTAATAAGAAGATATTTTAAACATACAGTCAACTTCGCGTATACAGGCAGAAGCCATCTTTGAAATACAGCCTTTACCAGTCGATCTACGAACGCCGATCCAAGTGCGCTGGTGAGATGTGAACGAGCTATAAGTTGTGATAAGGTGAGCGCGAACAGCAGGCTTGGATCGGCGTTCGTAGATCGACTGGTAAAGACTGTATTTCAAAGATGGCTTCTGCCTGTATACGCGAAGTTGACTGTATGTTTAAAATATCTTCTTATTAAACTGTCTGGACACTGACAAAGTTCTCAATGCTTCGGTTTGAAGGTAGGGACCCTCATTATGCTACCGTGCTAGTGTGGGGCTATTTTGAGCCTTGTTAGTGGTATTAACAAGCGATTTTTATTTGTCATTACACTATGCCCAATATACTAGCGTTATACTAGCTTTATAGGCTAAACTGTTTGTAGAGATAAAACTATTTACATTCGATAATCATGAAAACAAATCTCAGATAACGGTTGACTAGGTAACAATTTGTAATTAGACCAAAGGTTCATTTTGCGCCGGAGTTCTCCTTTAAGTATAAATTTGAAGTACTTTAGATTGTTATTCAACTCCACTTCACCTCAGTGTCAAATATTGTACTTTTTCTGAAAAACTGACTTTTTACACATGGATATTACATTTTGATATTAGATATTGTTTAAAAAAATATGAACAATATATAATAGAAACACTAAAAATATGTATTCTAGTTCAGGGATAGGCAACATTCTGCGGAGTGTAGCTCATCATAGGACAGTTTTGCATGTTAAAATAAATTATGGTTTGATTTGAGTATGTGAGATAATTTCATTTATTCTTCCCTCTTTCTGAGAACAGTGATTGACAGCCCACGCCTGAGTCAGCCCTGCAAACCTGTTGGTAGACAGTAAAAATATTCACTCATCCCAGATGATGTCCCGCCGCCAGAGGCTTTACCAGGTCTTGTTGCGCCCCTCCCGGTCCAGCAGCACTACCAAAATCTCCTTACTCAGCTCAATAAAAGTCTACAGAAAAATGTTTTCTTCATATCTGTTTTATGTATAGGCCTAATGTTAATTTAAATTTGTATTTTTTTGCTTATCTAAACGTAACTTATCTTGTAAATGCTTGTAAAAATACTGTAAGTAAAAATGTAGCCTATAGAACTATTTATTTTGTTTCAGTTACAAATTAATTTACATGACAAAAAAAAAATGTAGCCTACAGAATCATTTATTTATTACATTTACAAGTTATAACTTGCATTACAAAAATAAAAATATGCAAAGAAATTATGTTTTTTGTTTCATTTACAAATGTAACTTTTAAAAGTAATGTATATGATTGTTTTGATTTACAAATTTTGGGGGAAAGAAAGACGGTAGGCAGGGTTGCCAGGTCTGTGCAACAAAAATAGCCCAAAAAGCCCATCTGCTTTTCTCCATGGGGCGGCCGCGGCCGAATTCTCCACAGGATTTGTGAATATGAGGGATGTTTTGGGGATGTTGGAGCGCCGAAATCATACTTACGGTTGTGGAAATCACCCCGCGAAAAAAAAAAAAGTTTACCCGCGGCAACAACTTAAAAGTAGCCCGATTCCACAATCAGCCTTCAAATGCGACTTTCAGAGGGTGCAGCCCCTGAATTGGAATATGTGCAGATGCAACGCAACCGGACACAATCAGTCACAAATCACAGCCAATCAGAAATGTGTGTGAGAGAGTTCTCTCTTTTTACTTGCTTTCAGACTCAACATATTTAAAAGCTTAATGTGTAAAAGTAAAACTAAGAACAAACGGCATGTTTGTGTCTTTGAAGGGCACTGGGGGAAGGGGACTTCCAATCAAAAGTTGGCATCCGAATCGGGTACATGTGATAATCACATGATCCAGTGCTTTTCATCCTTGCAATTTATATGTTCACTGAGGCACAAGTTACCTTGAATTGAACCCAACTTATCGCCTATCACCTTGTTGCTTTTACCATTTGCCAAATAAAGAGACAGTACACAGTTTAAATAAATTTTAATTAAATAAGCAATTCAAATATATTTGACCCATGCCTTTTATTGCAATCTCAACAGCAAAATTTTCTCAAAATGTATTTAGATGTTACATTATCAAGACGCAACAAATAAAGTGGCACAACCAATTTGTACAAGTGAGAAAAAGGCGGCTAATTACGAATTCACATGACCTCACTCGTACGAATTTGCTTGATTTGTCTAAACCCCGCAGTGATGGGTATAGGTTTAGGGGCGGGGTCAGGGATAGGCCATTCGTACGAATTCATACGAATAAAATATGTACGATTTAGCAAACCGTGAGATCGGGTTCTAGTGACATATGGTTTAATGTCATGGGGTGTCAAACTCAGTTCATGGAGGGCCACAGTCCTACAGAGTTTAGTTCCCATCGCTAATGCAAGTGAAAGTGAGGTAAGGCTTTATAGGTGTTCCATAGGAGATCTTCCCCTCACCCTTTAAAATAGTGATGCTCGAATGGAATTTGCCCAACATTTATTTAATTTTAAACATAATTTTTTACCTTCGCTATCATTAAAGATAATCCTTGGCAATTCTCTTAGGGGCTATTTACACAACATCGTTTTACAACTATAAACTTACATTTTGTATGTGTTTTGCCCATTCATTTACACGAAAAACAGTGTTTTGTGGGCCTGAAAATGCAAACTTTTAAAAACTTTTTACAAAGTGCAATTTTTTGAAAATGAAACCGTTATCTATGGAAATTTGTGAAAACGGTGATGTAATGTTCTGCATAGGCCTTTTACTTGTTCAGTCTATAGGTGTGTAGTGTTTCTGTATAGGAAAAACTTTTCTGTTTTTAGTACATCTGTCACAGGAGGTTGCAGGAAAGCAGATGAAGATGATGAGGATAATTCCAACACGAAGTTTATTGATGATACTACAAAGAATAAACAGACAAGCAACTCTAAATGTAACATAGACTGACCAGAGAAAGAATGCGAGGTATCAACTTATATAGCAAACACAAACGAGGATAATTAATAGAACACAGCTGAAACCAAGAACACGAATGAGGAGTGGGAAAACTGAACACTTAATAATAATTATCATACAGAAAGTATACATACTCGTTAATTGTTCCAATATATAGGTGTCTCGTTATATTTTGACTGGATGGCACAAAAGAGCAGTCAGAATTACTCCAGAGAGCAGATAAGATGCAAATAAAATGACAGAGTGAATTTGTTTTGGTTAATTTGTTAAAACATTTACAGGTTACAAGAGAAGACATATCCACATGTAAATTCAACATTATGATCTGATACTTATCTTGGACTCAAAACAAAAATGTTATAAAAGAACTACACAGATATAGGCTATACATTTTTTAATGTAAGGCATCATAACTGCAGCAGTGGCAACAGAGGTGATGTTGCAGGATTATTTATCCAAGGAGAAAGTAAATTAAAAGGAAGAGATGGCCAAAACCAAACATACTATCAATTAATTATATATTACATCATTTTTTTTTTTTTTTTACAAATGAACAAAATGAAAAGAAATGCAAGATTGCGTTTACTGAGCTAACATAAATTTTCTGCATCAAAATTAAAACAACAAAAAAATTAATCTTATAAAACTTTTTACTTACTTTTTTAGTTACTTATTTTGCCAAACAAGCTGTACCCCCCCCCCCCCCCCCCCCCTCCCCCTCTCCTCTCTACTCTCTCCTCTCTCCTCTCTCCCTCTCCCCTCCCCCCTCTCAAATGCAAGTTTGAATAAAAGCAGCAGCTACATGTATATTTCTATCCTGGCACGTTCTGTCACGTTTTACACAGCAGTTCCCACTGAAGCAATTAGCACATTTCTGGCATCTTCTGCTATGTCATCCAGAGCTCTCTTCAGCATCCCTGAGACTGTCATGTAAGACATTCCTCCTGCCACCACAGTTCCAAGAATGGGTATGAGGCTCGCAACATACTCAACTGCATTTTCAGCCACAACCAGCGATGCAGCACCCAATAAAGATAATATTGAAGCTGGGTTTATCCCAAAACGCAGAGGTGACTTCATCAGACTCTTCAGTTCTTCAATGGTCTTCCCAGATTTCTCACAGAGCTTCTGTAGGGTTGGATCATCCAGACCAAATGTATTGTAGTACGTTTCAATCTCTTTTTTGACAATGGCAAAATCCACAGCAACTGAAAGACCGGGAACAGGAACTGTAGCCACAATAGCAGACAGCAAGGCTACTTTTCCAATATTTGCCTCTAAAATTTTCTTCTTTTTCTCATTAATTTCCAGTGTAATATTTGGCAAAGCCAACATCAGCACACGTCTCTTATGCTGCGGGAGCTCTTTCTCCATTGTCTCCTGAAGTTTATTTAAATCATAGTTGCCGAGCTCCCAACCAGAGATCAGGAACACGACAGGATCCTCTATACCGATCTTTCTCAGACCTATTGACAGAAACAAGAAAGGGCATCATAAAATAAGAAAGAGATTTGTTAAATCTAAAAGATAGGCTATTTACCATTTTCAATATAATCCTTAATATTATTGTTGTTTTTACATTAGTAAACTACATTTGTTCAATGTAACAATTTTAAACACATCTTAAACTTTTTGTTGTTCAAATCATTGTCAATAACTTACCATTTTCACAATCCTCTCGGATGGTATCCAGTGTCTTTTTCTGGTCAAAGTTCTTCTTCTTTTTCTCAGCAATAATGCAAAAGTCCATTTTGGAACGAACAAAATAAAACTTTTTCCCCATTCTCATGATCTCTTTGGCCAGCTGAGTGTGGCATTCTCTGAACCGATCCGAAGCAATGATGATGAAAAAATCATAGCGTTCAAACTGAACCAGTTCAAGATACTCGTCGGCTTTGAAGTTTGGTGTTCCAATTCCAGGAAGATCCCACACCTTCACATTTTTGTATTTAGGATGAAGGTAATCTTTAGACTCCATAGTGGTTTCTACTGGGCCAGTTTCAGCAGAGCCTTCATCTTCATCTCCTAAACCCCTGAATGCATTGACAAACGTGGACTTTCCAGAACCTGACTCTCCCGTCACACCAATGTTAAGTTCTACAAGATCTTGCTGTTTGAGGTATTCTTTGATTGTGTTTATCGCTGATGGAAGATCCTGAGTAGATATGGAATCTTTAATATCCTCCAGGTCCTCCTGAGTTATTATACAATAATCTTCAAACATATCCATCTAAAAAAGTACCGTCAAATTGAACAGTGTTATAAAAAGAAACTGCCGAAAAGATTTTGCTTAAAGGGGTCATGAACTGGCTTTTTAAATTGTTTTATATTGTTGTCTGAGGTAAACAGGTTTTACATTAAAAAACATCAAAATGAACAAGTAATAGCCTATTACTAATAGACTATTTTCTACCCTAGTTTTGAGCCTAGCTCAAAAACGCTCGGTTTTTATGGGCATCTCGCATTGAAGACTTGTAAGTAAACGCCCACTGCTGTGAGTGGATCACAGTTTTGCATATTATAATGAGTTTCGTGTAATGCGCAAATCGGTGGGCGGGGCCGGCCGTGTTGAAGTAGGCGTTGATCTTCTTCTGCGGGGGTGGTGTTTTATCCTCTTTGTCGTCATAGTTCCCCACTTTGAAAAACGAGTCGTTTGCTGAGCCTGGTGTCAATAAAAGCTTTTATTGGACTAACAAGGACGTTTTTTAGTTCTGAAACTTACAGGATATTCTTATAATTTGATGACCTCTTAGATGTCAAAAGCTCAAGGAAAATGTGATTTCTCAGTTCATCACCCCTTTAAAACAACAGTTTTAAATGTCACAAGTACCTTTCTATGTGTTGGCCCATTTTAGCTGAAACTTAAAGGCCCAGTTTTCCAGACAGGGCTTAGAAAAAGCCAGGATTAGGCCTTAGTTTAATTAGAACATTTAAGTAGCTTTTATAAAAGTGCCTTAAAAACATTACTGGTGTGCATCTTGAGACAAAAGAATGGCATTGACTTATTTCAAGATATGTCAGTGCAGGTTGATTTCAGATAAAACATGCATTTTAGTCTGGGACTAGGGTTAAGCATGGTCTGTGAAACTGAGGGAAAATCCCCATTTTGATTGGAGGTAAAATGGGCCATCAACTAAATAGTCTTTTACAGTTTTTAAATTTCTGATTTAATTTCTGAACTGGCTCCATTTCTCAAAACTCTACACACACAACCTCAAACACGCACACAAGATGGAAAACGTCACACATCTCTTACAAAAGCAAACACTTCATTCAAAACTAT